TCTCTCTCTCTCTCTCTCTCTTTTTCTCTTTTTATTCTTCTCAAATAATTTTTTAAAAACTAAAATGAAGAAAAAAAAAAAAGAAAAAAGATTCCTTAACCCGACCGTACCCAAATCACATTCGATCGCATCTTTATGTTCTCAAGTCAAAAATGCCGCCAGATGTCGAGCCTGAACGTGAAAGATTTTCAAATTCATAGATAAGATCCTTTCTGAATTTTGAGAGTACATGAATTCCATATCTGATTTCTAATATCCTTTTTGCATTTTACGTCAAATTTATCAATCACAAGTCCGAAATAAGAAAGAATTGAAAGTTGATATAACATACATACATATCTATATTTCCATTTGCCCAAATATCTTTTTGGGCTTAATGAGCTTAAACATAGATAGAGAAGCTTCATCCTTTTCTCGTTTTTGCAAGAATTTCTTCAATTTCTTCATTATAATCGAAGCTTATTTATAAGTCAACTTGTAATTTCTATTTAACTGTGCTTTCCTCTCCATCCTTACTTCTTCTCTCACATCTTATTCTTCCGTTTTGTCCAAGTGTTGAGCCTTTCTCCATCAACATTGACAATTTGAAAAGAAATATCCATTAGAATGATTTGCTTATTCCTTATCCATCGGTTTCGTTTTCATAAGCGTTCCACTCGCCCTCCCCCTTCTTCATCGTCCAACCGCATTTGTTCTTTTATTTTTTCTTCATTTTTTAAACATTTTTTTTTCTCTCTGTGATATTCTATTCATTCAGAAATAGTTTCATGGAGATGCTTCACATATCAATCAAAGCACATTGTCTGTAAAAAAAAAAGAGAAGAAAAACTGAAAAAAGCTTTTCAAATTTATGCCATGTTTGGTGATGATGATGAGCTGCTTCTTCAGAATTCACACTGAATAAACAAACAGTAAATAAGCTGAATAAGCGAAACATTTCTGTACGTTTCTTCATGCAAGAATAGTCATTGGTCATTGTTATGGTAGAGACTTACTATTTGAGGATTCTCGCCTTCCTCTTCTCACCCGCGCGTTCACCCACAATCGTATAAGATCTTTTAGAGAGTCTTTTTCCGCAAAACCGTTTGGATGTGACTTCTGATGGTTCTGTTACACGTCTACGCTACGTTATGAGAAGAAGAAACTCGGCATTCCATCTGATTGCACTTTGCGGACAGCTAGCTCTCTCTCCCTCTCGGTCATTCTCTCTCTATCTCTCTCTTTCTCTCTTTATGTTTCATTCTGAGTGTACGGTCTAGACTTTTATGTCTCGAGATAAAGATATCTTAGGCGTTCAATCAGAAAGGAACCACTTGACCACTCAGGCTTAATCAACCCTGTACATGAATGATTTATTGAATGATAAGATCATCTGACTCTATTTATGATCAAAGCTTTTCATCCAATAAAATCATCAGACAATCATTGAAATCATTCGTTTCTTGCGTGAACTCACGTACACACCAACACATCTTTGTGTGAAATTGAATGAAATATTTAAGATATTCACATTTTTTCTGATCTTCCACCCACTGTGGGTGTGATTGTGTGGTTTGAAGCTTGCCGGAAAGTATTCTAACATAAACTGACAGAGTGAGAGAGAGAGAGAGAGAGAACAAGAACAGAAGGAAAAACCGTTTTCGTCTAGACATCAGCCGTCTCATCCAATCCTTCTTTTTTGTTCTCAAAAACATTTAATGAGATAATCAAGCAATCAATCTGTATCCATGGCGCTCTGGAAGAAGGAAGTTCGCTCGAACCACAAATGGATGGGTGCATCATCTCGTTTTTGATTGCCTAGACGATGTTATGTTTTTCGTCATCATTCGTTAACTTCAAATACGATTCACAGCTTTTTCAAATGTAAATCCTTCTTGAGAATTCATTCCTTTTTTGGATACACAAATCGTTTCTAGTTTTCTATAGCGTTTTACCTTTATTTGGACAATTCCGTTCAGCTTGTTTCTCCTCTCCAATGGTATATATGAAGTTTTGAAACTTTTTTATTTCTTCTTATGTACTGCAGAGAATTATGTTCTGGGTATGGTCTTGTGAAATATCCATAAGCGGCTAAACGGATCCTCTTCTTTCCTATCGTTCTCTGTCTTTCTCTCTATCCCTCTCTATACATTTCTTCCTCTCTTTTTATGTTATTGCATGTTACTTGAAACTGTTGCACTGTACTCCATTAACTCTGAATCTGACATAAAACCAGAACAACAGCCCACTTTTCTCTACTAAAACCTTGTATGGTAAGCTTGGTTGTATTCACAGATTTGCATTGCTCCATCGCAGTTCTGTTTCGATCGAAAAATGAAAAAAAAACGACGAAGAACTATTCATCTCTATGGAGCTTTAGCTTTGTCTAGTTTATAAAGAAGCTGTAGTACGTCTTCTGTAATATGGATAGAGGACGGATAGGATGCGCTGAAGATGTGTGTGTGTGTGTATGTGTGTATGTGTGTGTGAGTAAGTATGGCGAGAGAGGACATCGTCGATGTCGACGACGACACATTCAAAACGTGTTTTTGGTCTTTTCTACTGTCCACCTCCCAGTTTGATCCTCCATCCTTCTCTTTCCCTCTGTTTCGGTCTCTCATATTGTCTCTCTCTCTCATCTTTTCCTTTACTGTTGTCCTTATTTCAATTCATTCAGTTCTCTTTTAGGAAATTATGCATAAAACGTCAATTGATGTATTCTATAGATACATTCGTTCGATTTCTCTAAAAGTAATATTATTTAAAAGAATTTCTGTGTAAATGTTTTTTCTTTGCCCTTCTCAAAAGAAGAACAGCGAGAGGGATAGATAGAGAGAGAGAGAAGAAGGAGAAGAAGAAGCTTCTTTTCTTCTTTCAACTTCTTCGTGCGCATAAGGATTGACCATTTCTGTATGCTGAGGACAGTAGCTATCCTCCAAAACATCCACAAACCTTCTTTCAATTCTCCTCACTAAAGACCATCTGATGACTTCTTCTTCTTCTTCTTCTTCATAACTGTCTTAGAAGTTTTCGTATTTTTTCTCTCTCCAGAATTGACACAACATACGTGTTTAGTTAGAGGCGTCCTAGTTTCACGTGGAGCGTTTTTGTTCATTCACGTAGTCGAACTCAATCAAGTTCACATTTTCCTTTTATGTCCTCTCTTCTATTGATATTCTCCTTTTCTTCTTCAAGTTTCAGAATAAAGTGACAATCGGTTTTTTTTCTGGTCATTTACTCGTCCTCTTCCACTCCTAAACCTCTATTGAAACTGTAATTTTGTCAAATCTGCCGCATGGTTAGTCCATCCCTCCTCATTCCCCTCCTTCAATGCGCATACACCTAGACCAAAAAAGGTTCTGAACGGAATAATGAAAACAAAAAAACAAACGACTACCTGAAACTTTTTTTTTTCTCACTCTTTGCTGTTCAAGATAAAAATGGTGTTCAAATTTATTTATAAATCAATAAAATTCTCTCGTAATGAAGAAAATGAAGAACATGAAACGTTCATTAGCCGTGTCGTATATCTCTTTTTGGGGCTACTATGTGTATAGCCTGTATGTTTCTCTCTTTTATAATCTAGTGACGAAACAACCAGAACGTTTTCATCTTGTTATTCCTCTCTTCTCTCCTCGTCTATGATTCAAATCCGCTACTAATTATCTCTATATATGGCAATCTTCTTTTTTTTTTTCAATTCTCATAATTACTACTTTCTCTCTTGATGTTCTGAGGCCTCTTGGCCTTTTCGTCAGCTTCTTCACTTTCCTTACCTTACTTTCCCACGTTAATTTCTATTTCGCTTTTCATATTCACCCGTTGACGTCTCCTCCCTTCTCATGCTTCGCCATCTTCAACGTTACCTCCTCTTCTACAACCCCCACCACTACCACCCATTCCTCTCACCAATTTTTTTTTTGTCTATTCCGAATAAAACATTTTTTTTTCTCCCAACTTCCAGTTATTTCCTTTATCTTATCGATTTTGATTCGTCTCTTTCTCGCTCATCATAATATGATCTCTTATTTTTAAATTATTTCTTTCAGTTTTAAACTTTAAAATTCGGTTATTCCTACAATATGTCGAGTGAGGAGACCGAATCGAAAGATCGCACCAAAGAAAACCGACTGAAAAAGGATAATATTCAGGTTTGTTTTTTCCACAACCATATCTTATAGCACAAATTAGCATATTTCAACCTTTTTTATGTCTGTTTCTCTTCTTTTGCAAACTGTCAGATGAAAAGCATGACATCCGATTTGGGAATAGCTTCGTTTGCTTTGCTTTTCACAGTTTCTTTCGATTTTTCGCGATTATTCTTCTTCTGTTTTCGCATTGTTCTCTATCTCATCGTCTCAGCTTCATCTTACCGAATCAATCGATTGAGCTTTTGGTGTTTTTTTTTCGTTTTTCTAAAAACCAAAATTACAAATTCAAATAAGAGACGATAGAATGGATTGTCAATTAACCTACCGTGAATTATGTTTCATACGAGTCCCTTTTTCAAGAAAACTTGATTCTTCAATCAAAAGTTTTTGGTAAAAGAACTGAAACTGTTCCGATGGACTTTGGCCGTGAACGGATAACGAATATGCTGACCGTTGTCGTTCCAATAAGCTTAAACTACATTATTCAAATGAATTCCAAATGTATCTATAGCGAATGTTTTTGTCTCATTCAAAAAGCCTCCCCCCCAAGTGATCTCCATCTATTCAGTTACATTTCTACTGTTGCAGGCTATGGTCATCGTGCAGAACTCATTGGATACACCGTCAAAGAAAGGTATTTCCTTTTTCTACTTTTTTTATATTTTATTCTTGTTTTTTTCTCCTTTTTTTTCTCATTTTATTTTTATTTGATTCTACTTGTATTGCTTCATTCATCATCATCTCCCCCACTCTTGATTTTCCCTTTTTTCCTTCTTTTTTTTTTGAGAAAAAAAAAAAAAGAAAAATTTGACTGTACATCAGAAATACACGCCAGAGAGAGAATTGTGTGTAAAGCGCAACCGTTCTTTGTGTCTGATATCTGTCACAATGAGATGTTGTCCGTGTAATGTACGTGGAAAATACGTAAATTAGCATAATTAGTATGAGTATATGTCTGTATAGATTATATGATTGTCTATATAGAAAGAGACATTAGCTGAAATACAAACCCTTCACACGTCTTACACAGTCTCAATATTCTATTTGTTACATTTTCCTATCTTTTCACATTTATATTAAAAAGTTATAGCACAGAGAAAAGATGTATTATAGTTTTTGACAGGCTTAGTGTCCTGTCTGACCTGATTGACCTCAATGCACCTTTCTGGCTTATCGACATCATTGAAAACGAAACATTGCCACTCAACTAACAAGATGAATAGAAAGAGCAATCCTAGATAGCATTCGAATCAATGAGAAGAAGTATACGAATGAGCTTTTGAATACAAATTGTACACACACACATATATATATATATATATATATATATATGTATATATCCATCCAAAAAGCTAGATCACTTGGCAACTCGTTGTTGTATATCCACAGACACATCTTATATTTTTCAATTTGGTGTTTTTTGGATTCACATTAAGCTGCCTTATGATATATTCGTTCGTTCATAAATTGCTCATAGAAAATAGGAAATAGGATCATTCAATCAGCAAAATTTCTTCTCATTCATCAAATATCTTTTTATCCGTTTCTCTTTTCCTTTCTTTTTTTGTTTTAGTCTCTTTCCATTGCTGAATAATTTCAAGCGATTTTTACTTGCTAAACTTTGTCTGTTTGGAAGAAGATGAGAAACGTTCAAAGAGACAGAGAGAGAGAGAGAGATGTAGATGGAGATGATGAAGAAGGAGAAGAGAGTGTGTTAGTTTGATTAATTATTTCTCTATCTACTGATTATATCTATATTTGTTTCTATAGTTTCTTCCATAAATGTGGAAGAAAATGGAAAAAATAGATGAAGATGAGATCAGAAGATGGAGCCAAAAACGGAAGATACGATGCGAGACAGAAGGCACCTGGCACGATGTCAGTCTATGAGAAACTAAGTTAGATGAAGAAGATCAGAAGATGAGAATCATATTAAAGCTAATATTATAATCATTTCTTCCTTTTTCGTCTACATCCCTTTCGTCTTCGTTATTCATTCACATCTGTAGTCCTTAACGCCTTCTTCAAATATCTGGCACTACAATTCGTTTAATCGTCCAGAAAGTTGTAGCTTAACGAGCCGTGTATGAGCAAGTGAGCATGTCAATAAGCCTGATGATGTGACTGACCTTCTGTCCTCATTTACGGTCACAATCCATCTGTGAGAAGCTTTGTAATCTCGTTAACTAAAGCCACAATGACCACATAAAGCCGAATGCATGCTCTTCTCCATCATTTTTCATTTTATTCCGTCGTCTCCGTTTTTTCTTCTCCTCTTGCCTCCATAGTTTGTGATGAATCAAGATCCCCACAAATGGCTATTTGACCTGCTGGACTTGATTTCGTAATTTTAAATGGAAGTTTTAAGTCCAAAAATAGAAATGCGAGTTTTTTTTTAATATTACGACACCTGCTTATACGCTTAAAGCTGTCATCCACCGAAATCAAAACCGAAGATGAAGCTTCTTTGAAACAGCTTAAGGTGTCCGTATAAGGAACCGAAGCCATAAGGAACTGATTGAATAACAATAACATTTTGATGAAAAAGAAGAAAATCTCATAAAAAAAGAGAAAATCATATTGAGTCATCGCTCATTTTACATAAAAGTCAATTGATAATCTCTCACAATTGACGTTTTCTTTTTTTTGTTTCTCTCCAATACCCTCCGATCCGGTTTCATTTCTCTTACTCCCCCCCCCCTCTCTCCCAATACCAATCCAATCACTTCGGGATTTTCTTTCATTATGTTCCACATCACAACTTCAGCTTTTGCATAACTATGAAACTTCGTCTCATTAGGCAAATTTCTTAAACGGCTTCAGTTTAATGCCTCAGGCTTTTTTTATCCTAAAAACAATTGCTTTCTGCAGCGTTGTTCTTCGAGACATTCTATTGCTATGATTATGGAATGTCAATAAACACCCACAATCTTTCTCGTCATCGTCGTAATTGACGAATGACGCAAAAAAAGCAGCTTTCTTCAATTGAAACGATTTTGGACAAGCTTCATCTCTTATTGTCTCGCTCTCACTCTCACACTCTTCTACCCTATCTTTCTTTCTATGTATACAGTCATCTTGTTCAACATCATAACAGAGTTGGAGATGCACCTGTTGAATGGCATTCAGGTCACTTATGATGAGTTTTTTTTCTCTCTGAATATTTAAGAGATTGTCGTTCATCTCTCCCTTTCTTCTTCGTCATTGAGAAAGAAGTCCTTTCCTCCTAACCTCCTTTACCAAAATCTTCGCTCATTTCATCATCCTATGAAATACATTGACAATTTTTATTTCCTCTTTCTTTCGGTCAGTGCGAAGAGAAGTGTTAGTTAGACAAACTTTTCATTTTATTTCTTTCACCTCCTATCACATCTTACGTTCGACTATGTTCCATTGGGATTCTGTGATGACATTGTACGCTTAACTGCCTTTCGTTTGTCTCCGTTACTCTCATTTTCGGTGCCAGTTGAATCTCTGGCACGTTGTCGTCTTCGCTTCGAAACTTCTTTTCGTGTATTCAACCTCAGCCTCGCAGTCTTCGTCCTCCCACTTATACCAGCTCGTGCCATTCAATAACACTCCGTACTGCCTTTCTCTTCGCTCTTTATCTTCATCGCTTACTCTCTCCTGCTATATGCATATCTACTACACTATATTCCGTTTTCTCTGTTCTCCTCTCTTTGTTTTGCTTACTTGATGTCTGACAATACTGTCTGTACACACTTTCCTTCCGTCCGACGCACCTGTTTGCCATACAGGTCGAAACTGGTGCAGCTTCTGATGCGAATAGGAAAAAATATTCAACCGTTCTTATCGTTTCTGTCTTATCGTCTCAATGACGAGCTCATCAAATGATGGTCTTTCGGATTTTCCTCCACTCCTATTGTAGTTTGATGTTATCCAGTTTTCTAATCATCTGAGTATACGTATGAACTCAAACGTCATATCATCCTTTTAACATATGGATGATGACATTCCTATGAGGACGCGTCAAATATGTTGAAAAGAAGAATTCCCGTCCTTCTGTGCCTCTTTCTCTTCAAAGGATTGAAGTACAGAGGTAAAGGGACTATAGAGAGAAAGAGAGAGAGAGAGAGAGATTTTTCTACTCGAAAAAGTTGTACGAACGGTCATTTGTAACCAACTCACTCATACAATATAAACTAGTTTTTTTAATTACTAACTAGAAGGCCTCCTTTTTTACCAACCTGCTATTTCCATTTTTTTTCTTCTTTTCATACATCATTGTTCATTCACAAAAAAATGTTTGACTTCAGAAGATGGAATTTTCAATTTTCTCAAATAAATCTTCTTTTCTTTTCATCACGTTTCATCGTATCTTCCATATTAGGAGGAATTTGATCGTTTTTCTTTTTATTTTTGTGTATTTCTTTTCTCTCTCTCTCTCTCTCTCTCTCTCTCTCTCTCTCTCTCTCATCATTTTCCTCTCTCTCTTCCTATCTCAGACAGATTTGATCAAATCACAAGAAAAGCTTTAATTTCTCCATTTGTTACGTAAATAATCCTTTTTTAGTTTTGTAAATGTTTTCATATTCTTCTCTCGCCCATCGCACAATCATTTTCATTTTTTAAAAACATTTTTTTTCGTCTTTGGGAAAACTTTACAGTTGTGCGCGATTGCGCATTGCTTATGAACTTTATATGAAACACACCTGATCTTGCCACGCAGTTTTCATCCGTGAACGTCATGAAAATTATTTTTTTTTCAGTCTAAACGTGATGAGCGGTTGCATTTGTTGTTCCTTGTTTCTCTACTTTTTTTTTCCTTTTTTTTTATTCGGTCCGTATCATCTTTCTCTCTACTGTTCTTCATTCTCTACTTATGCTTATAGTGTTTCTTAGCGCGTTGACCAGTCTGTAACCACCTTTGAATGTAGGCAGCGTCAGTTCTTTTCCCTTATTTGGTCAGTTCGTCGCCTTCTCTCTTCGGCTTTGCTCTGTTTTTGGCTGTCCAAGGTCATTTGGGGTCAATGGCGGCTGTGTGTGCTGGCGTCGACCGGACAGACAGACCGATAGACGGACGGGAAGGTTCACACCAGAACAGTCTGACCTATCCATCACACAACATAATTTTCTTGTTTTTGTTGTTGTATTTCTGTTATTAATTCTCCGTAGGGATTGCATGTACTTACCTTTCGTCTGACTCGAAGACATCATCATTGATTGTTAAATTGATCACAAATGCCCTTTCTCTCCCCCCAAAAAGCTGTCTGATCGAAAAGTCGATTGGCATCATTTGCATTTGTATGATGACAAGACGTAGACAAAGCTTTTGAGCCATTTCCTCATATTTGACGAGTTGTCAGAAAAGAAAAAAAAAGTGAAGTAAGAACGTCACATTCATTTTTCTGTCTCTAGTCATGGATAGGAATTTCGAGAACAAGAACTATTAAAGATTGTAAAATGAAATTCCTGACCGGCAGAAGAGCATAAACGGCCTTGTACAGTCGTCAACGTCGTTGTCATCATTCCGTTGTCTGGCTGTCCACCTTTCAATCGATTTTTTCATATTTTTTTGTCGTCCATCCCATCTCTTCTTGATGTTTTTCAAAAAATATCTATTTTTAATATCATTATTTAAATAGATTAAATGAATGCTTCGATGATGTTGAA